TCCTCTCTCGCTCGCTCTCTCTCTCTCTCTCGCGCTCTCTCTCTCGCTCATTACGCAAATATTTCCACATAGTGAGGTAGATATGTGGGGGCGTGTTAGAACGATCAGGGATCTTATCTATGCACAATCAGCTTGTAACACTCCAAAGAGAAAGGAAAACTTGAAATTGCATCATATGACCCCTTCAAGAGATACGGATTTAGCGCAGTGTTTCTGGATGAATGAATTAAAGAGTGACTGAAAGCACAATGACCGTGTTTGAAGAGTTATGTGAGGGTGTTGCGTCATAACTACTGTAGGCCCACACACGAGGCCTTGAGCTTTATTTAAGAGTGTCAGGAACAATGACGGCTGCCTGTTTAATTGGCTGGTTGAGGTTGGGGAAAATGCCGGTTTTTCTACAGGTGGAACACTGACTTCCTCTTAATAATCCACGCTTTGTACCTGCATTGACTGTCTACTCTACACTCTTAAAAATAAAGCTTCCAAAAGGGGGTTTTCGCAGCGATCGAAGAAACATTTTGGGTTCTCAGAACCTTTCAGTGAACAGTTCTTAAAAAAAGAAATTCCTTAGTGTAAAGAACTTTTTAATAATCTGAAGAACCTTTTTCCACCATAAAGAACCTTTTGAATTAAATGTTCCATGGATGTTAAAGGATCTCTATGGATATGCACTGATAAAGAACCTTTATTTTTATGTTATGACTTGTTCTTTCTCTTTCTCTTTCTGTCTTTCTTTATTTTTTCAAACTTCTGTTGAACCTACTTTTTCTCATTCTTGTGTAATGCTTTTTTTCATGTTTTTACTTTTTTTTTAGCTTTTGTCTGTTTAAATATTTAACTAATGGTTTAATCTGAGGTTTATTAAGCTTTTTAAGATTTCTTTTGAAATCTTAGCTTTGTAAGCATTTAATTGTTTAAGCGGAGATCTAATTCATTTGAAAGAAAGTTATTTTAAGCTTTTTTTGTTGTTGTTGTTAAGCTTCCTTTCAAAATGTTATACATTATTTCATATAATTTTATACTTTTTTTGCACCTTCTTAAAACTAGTTTTAATTCAATTTTATCAGGCAAACATCACACTACTTTTTCGTTTCTTTTGTTCTAGTTGTAGATTAATTTTCTTGATTTTCTGGTCTTGGGATCTGTCAGATTGTGACATCAGTTTTACTGTTTGCGTGAATCCTTTGTTCCTTTCGTGTGATGTTGTCATCATTTCCTCCTATATTTTTCTTAATCCATAATTACTCTCCTACTCATGACTAAACATTAGTACACAATAAATATGCATCGTATGTAGCCTACACATATACGCATATCCCCCTAATATGTTGCTTTGCCAACACATTTTTCTGTTGACACAAAGTTAGTTGTTGTGTTGATCAGGTGCCTCAGAGGACTAAATCTGGGTGATTTCACAAGTCTCCGTGACTACAAACGCATTACACCCAAACTCTCCCTCTCCAGAGAGAGAAAGAGAGAAGGAAGAGTGGTGTGTCACTCCCACCTGTTCACTCCATCCCTCCTCTCTGGAAAAACCAGATTCACATGAGCGACAGAGGAGAGAAAAACAGGAGGCCCGCGTAACTGCTCTTCGGTCAGTCACTCAGGGATTTACAGAATCTGCAAACCTCAAACATTTGACTAAAGGTAAGAGATTCTCCTTCGTAAAGCTACTCTATCGTGAACATATCGTTAAACCTACCTTGAAGTAAAGGTGCTGTTAAAATACCTTTAAGTAAAGAACTTCTTTGACGACATCTGCAAATATCAGTGTATAGCTATAATTGTGCTTGTTCATGCAGGATGATGTTTAATGAGTGTTTTAACAGCTCTTAGGGTGTCATGTTAGTGTGTGTGTACCTGTTTTTCTATTCTGGTGGGGACTTACACCTGAATACACACAGACTCATGGGGACTCATGTCACGGTGGGGACCTAAATTGAGGTCCCCACGGGTAAACGAGCTAATAAATCACACAGAATAAAGTTTTTTGAAAATCTAAAAATGCACAAAGTTTTCTGTAAGGGGTAGGTTTAGGTGTAGGGCAATAGAAAATACGGTCTGTACAGTAGAAAAACCATTATGCCTATTGAGAGTCCCCACAAGGATAGCAAACCAGACGTGTGTGTGTGTGTGTGTGTGTGTGTGAGTGAGTGAGTGAGTGAGATGTTCACAGCTTCAGGACCGTGTCATGTCCATCCAGAATGAGATCTCCTGAGAGATCCGTGTAGTTTTGCTGGGTTTTCCTCACTTGTCCCGAGTCATTGTTTTGCAGAGCGTGAGTGTGGCTGTAATTAACGCTGCATCACTTCACTGATCAAGCAACAAACAATGATGTGAACTGTCCTTTGACCTCCCTTCTAAAACGCTTGAAAATACCACGGGACTCTGATACAGTTCTGAAACATGCTCACCAAGGCTGCATTTATTTGTTCTAAAAATACAGTAAAAAAAACTATTTTAAAAACTGTAATATTATGAAATATTATTACAATTCTGAATTGTCTGCATCATTACTCCAGTCTTCAGTGTCACATGATCCTTCAGAAATCATTCTAAGATGCTGATTTCTGCTCAAGAATCAGTTTGATTATTATCATCAATGCTGAAGACCGTTTTTGCTGCTTAATGTTTTATTAACACACATTTTTCAGGATTCTTTGAAGATTAGAAAGTTCAAAAGAGCAGCGTTTATTTGAAATGCATCCTTGCTGAATAAAAGTCTTAATTTATTTTCAAAATCTTACTGACCCCAAACTTTTGAATAATATCTGTGACACTGCATGATGCCAGTATTAATATTTACATTATACTCCATGGTATTTCAAAGAATATGATACATGTCCCATCACATCATAAACATTTTTATATCGTGGCATTATGAAAAATGATGCTACTACATGTTATTTTGGTTACACTTTACTTGAAGGGGTGTGCATAAGACTGACATGACACCTTCATAATCATGACATGACACCTACATAATCATGACATGACACATGTTATGAATATGAAGGAGGTTTTATGCATGTTTATGACAACTGTCATTAAGTGTCATTCGCTCATTTATGTCATTTTTAATGCAAAGATGACATTATCTGAGATGTCTTTGTTATGGGCTATGGTTAGGGGTAGGATTAGGTCAAATAATGTCATATTTGCATTAAAAATGACATAACTGAGCGAATGACACTTAATGACAGTTGTCATAAACATGCATAAAACCTCCTTCATATTCATAACATGTGTCATGTCATGATTATGAAGGTGTCATGTCAGTCTTATGCACACCCCTTCAAGTAAAGTGTTACCTATTTTGAACAAGTGTTATTTAAAAATGAATTTCAAAGTACTATGGTATTCCCAGCTGATACCTTTACTGTACACTTTTTTTTATAAGAAGATGGTACTGAGTGATTGACTTGCTCATATAGTAGCATGGCACTCCTCAAAAGCTGTATGAAAAGCTGTCATTGGGGTGATAGTGAGAACCTTTCAAAAGGTATACTTTTGAACTTTTTAGGTACTAATATTTATACTTTAGGACCTTAAGGTACCAATATAGACAAAGATGTACCTTTTGAAAAGGTACCACCCCAGTGACAGCTGTAGTTTTTGTAAGTAAACATGCAAATATTAACTTAAACCAGTAATGATCAATCTCTTTAATTTTGTAAAAGCTTTTCAAGACTTGAAATAGGGATTCAGTGATATACTGACTGATTTATTGTTATTATTTTTTTTTTTTGTATTTTTTTTTTATGAATTGTATTATAATGGACAGTTAAAAAATAACTGTGAAATACTTAACCTGGCATTAAACAATCATTAATATATTATGCATTCTACTATCAAACAATACATGAAGGTTGCATGTTGTCAAACATCTCTTATACACGCTAAAAAATGCTGGGTTGTTTCAACCCAATGTTGGGTCAAATATGGACTAACCCAACTGTTGGGTTAAATTTTGGTTACGTTTTTAAATTAGCTTTTTAACCCAACAGTTGGGTTAGTCCATATTTGACCCAACATTGGGTTGAAACAACCCAGCATTTTTTAGAGTGTATTTTTTAAAGATTTATGCTCACCAAGGCTGCATTTATATATAAATACAGTCAATTCTGTAATATTGTGTATTATAAATATTATTACAGTTTAAAATAACTGTTTTCTATTTGAATATATATTCAAATGTAATTTATTTGAATTTCAGCATCATTTCTCCAGTCTTCAGTGTCACATGATCCTCCAGAAATCATTCTATGAATTGCTGCTCACGAAACATTATTATTATTATTATCAATGTTGAAAACAGTTGTCCTGCTTCATATTTCTGTGGAAACGGTGATACATTTCAAAAGTATAGCTTTTATTTCAAACAAATCTTTTGAAACTTTATAAATGTCTTTGCTGTCACTTTTGATCAGTTGAATGCATCCTTGCTGAATAAAAGTATCAAATTCTTTAAAAAAAAAAATCGAAATATATTTATATAGTCCAGTGATTCCTCAAATAATGAGGAGGCTTGAGCAGACTTTTAAATTAAATTATATTTCACAACCTGCCATAACATTTGAAGCCTAGTGATGCACATTTGACAGTAACTCTGACAGTCTGTACTTGCAAAACATGTCACATCAATAATACTTTATTGATGGTTTTTAAATGTTTATCTCCCCTGTCTTTGGATAATGACCCGACCAGAACTTTCTGTTCATCTTAAACCTAAACAAACTCTGACCTCACATTAGAGACGCGAGTAGTGCATGTGACACACACGTTGTGTGGGGGCTCTTATGGAGTGCTGCTTAATCCTTCGGTAACACTTGACCTTAAAGGTTTATGGACGGTGCGATCAAACCTATTTAAAGTTCTATAAAGGCATAATAAGGGACCTTTTTCACATTTCCGGGTTTCTCAGCAGCGGAAGTCGTCATAGTTGGGTTAACTTGAATAGCAGTGAATGGGAGAGGACCACAAATATATGTTTTGCATTCCCATTTGCTCAAATAGCAAAAGAATTAGTGTTTCACATTAGTGTTTTCATGACTTTCAGTAAAAGGAACAAAAATTGTCTCTTATAAAAAGTCTTTTATTTAAATCCATGAAAATGCAGATCCTGTTGTAATAATGAAAACTCCCTTTTTTTAAAGCTGCTGTTCCATTGTTACCCCTTAGCAGATATTGACTCGTATATTGAATTGCGATGAAAAGGTCACTTTTTCTTTAGATCTATGTAAGAGATGAAAACAAACAAACAAGCAAATCATCTCATTTCCATGTGGCTTAGCTGGGGTGAATGCAAATCATATTGCTGCAAGCTTGTAAAACACGCCTCTGCTGCAGGCACAGAATAAATGTCTTTTCAATAGCTTTTTCAACAGTGGCATTTTCGATTTTTTTGGTCCAAATACATTGAGGGTGTTGATATGAGGATCGATGCACATGCTTAAATCAAATATATTTGTGTTTTTGTTGTGCAGCTGGCAGGAGCAGCTATTCTGGGTGTGGGGATCTGGGTGAAGGTGGACAGTGGGTCTATCCTGAGTTTTCTGCAGAATACACAAGGAGCTCCAGGTGAGCTGGGGCAGGTGTTGAACGTGGGATACCTCCTCATCGCAGTGGGTGCTGTGCTGCTCATCCTGGGCTTCCTGGGCTGCTGTGGAGCGATCATTGTCTCTTATAAAAAGTCTTTTATTTAAATCCATGAAAATGCAGATCCTGTTGTAATAATGAAAACTCCCTTTTTTAAAGCTGCTGTTCCGTTGTTACCCCTTAGCAGATATTGACTCGTATATTGAAGTGCGATGAAAAGGTCACTTTTTCTTTAGATCTATGTAAGAGATGAAAACAAACAAACAAGCAAATCATCTCATTTCCATGTGGCTTAGCTGGGGTGAATGCAAATCATATTGCTGCAAGCTTGTAAAACACGCCTCTGCTGCAGGCACAGAATAAATGTCTTTTCAATAGCTTTTTCAACAGTGGCATTTTCGATTTTTTTGGTCCAAATACATTGAGGGTGTTGATATGAGGATCGATGCACATGCTTAAATCAAATATATTTGTGTTTTTGTTGTGCAGCTGGCAGGAGCAGCTATTCTGGGTGTGGGGATCTGGGTGAAGGTGGACAGTGGGTCTATCCTGAGTTTTCTGCAGAATACACAAGGAGCTCCAGGTGAGCTGGGGCAGGTGTTGAACGTGGGATACCTCCTCATCGCAGTGGGTGCTGTGCTGCTCATCCTGGGCTTCCTGGGCTGCTGTGGAGCGATCAAAGAAAGCAGGTGTATGTTGCTGCTGGTACGTCAAAGAAACAACACTGAAACAACACATAATGAGTTTCCCACAATGTGTACACTCTAATAAATAATGCATCTTATTGGGCATTTTTGGCTAGGAAGAACCTTTAACATCCATAGAACCTTTCAACTCCACAAAAGGTTCTTTAGATTATTAAAATGTTCTTTACATTAAGAAAAAAAGGTTCCTGTGTTCACTGGAAAGTTCTTTTGAATCAAAAATGTTAAAAATGGTATTATACACACCCATTATATTAAAAACATTACGTAATTTCTATATTAAATTGTATATACTGGCCATATACTGTGCTCATTGATTCATTCATTGAATCTGTCTGTCAATCTCTCTCCTCAGTTCTTCATCATTATTCTGATTGTGTTCATTGCTGAAGTCGCTGGAGCGATTGTGCTGTAACAACACTGAAACAACACATAATGAGTTTCCCACAATGTGTACACTCTAATAAATAATGCATCTTATTGGGCATCTTTGGCTAGGAAGAACCTTTAACATCCGTAGAACCTTTCAACTCCACAAAAGGTTCTTTAGATTATTAAAATGTTCTTTACATTAAGAAAAAAAGGTTCCTGTGTTCACTGAAAAGTTCTTTGAGGAATCAAAAATGTTAAAAATGGTATTATACACACCCATTATATTAAAAACATTACGTAATTTCTATATTAAATTGTATATACTGGCCATATACTGTGGTGGACTTCTGTTTGCTCATTGATTCATTCATTGAATCTGTCTGTCAATCTCTCTCCTCAGTTCTTCATCATTATTCTGATTGTGTTCATTGCTGAAGTCGCTGGAGCGATTGTGCTGCTGGTCTTTAAGCCTCTGGTAAGTCTGTACACACCATATTTAAACATACTCCTTTGTGTGTAAAGAACTTAAGGAAATACTCAAACCTCCTCATTTGTATATTTCAGGCTGAAAACCTGATAAAACAGATGGGAAGCGAAGTTGTGAAAAGCATGAAAAACGATTATGGGAAAAATAAGGACGTCACTGGACTATGGAACACGACCATGACCACGGTTTGTTGATAAAGAAGGAAATAAAAGTTATTATTATTAGGCTACCATTGTTATTGGTAGTAGTAGTTGTATCATTATTATTATCATTACAGAAACAGAATATTTCTTCAAATTAAACAAAATCTTAAAAATTCTCAAATAAAATAATACGTAAGCATTATCCAGTTTAATATTGTGCATTTGATATTTTGAGACCTGTGCCTCATATAAAAATGGTATTGTATAAGAACAGTCTTTAAAAGTGTACCACAACACATAAACAAGTAAAATAAGTATTTATATGTTAACGTCCATTCATTTCAAGTATATTTGGCTGAATTTAGCTAATGTCAAACCTCTTTATTTCTCCTTTCTCTGCTTTAGCTGAAGTGCTGTGGATTCAACAACTATACAGACTTCACAAATTCTTACTTTGTGAACGACACCAAGAGTTACCCAGTTCAGTGCTGTAATAAAGTTCCATGCACTGAGATCACAGCTTTTCATTCGGTGGGTTTATCTCTGAGCATGTTTATTCCTTGAGTCAATTCTAGTTTGCATGCTTTTTGATTTTTCTATCATACAGGCTAGCATATAAATATCATAAACTTTTGTCTATTTGTTTGGTTTCCTCAGACTATACCAGGTTGTTTCCCAGCACTGAAGAAGCTGGTAGATGATAATGCAGTTATCCTCATAGCTGTAGCACTGGGAATCGCTGTTCTTGAGGTACCGGACACACTTTCTTTCTGTCTGTCAGTCATTGTGTTCACATTTTAAATGAAAGAGTTGTTCACGTTTGATGAGATACTGAAAATGTGCTAAAAGGTATGCTACATTTTCGTCACTTTCAGTTATCACACTGGAAATGAAAATGGGCCTTTTGCATTTTAATCCAGTTTGTTTTAGCTCTTGTGAGTCCAATTCATTCCAGAGGTGGATAAACTTATTCAAATTTTCATGGAAGATTACGAAAACAAGCTTCTTTATAATAACAATAAGACCAGAGACATTTATTAAGCAAATAAATATGGTCAGTTTTGATTTCCTGTTGTCTTTAAATGAATCATTCACTTGCTCAGCAATAGATCCTCTGCAGTGAATGGGTGCCGTCAGAATGAGAGTCCAAACAGCTGATAAAAACATCACAGTAATCCACAAGTAACCCACACCACTCCGGTCCATCAGTTACAATTTGTAAGAAACAAATCCATCAAGACATTTTTAAAAGTCCTCTATCCGTAATATTGCTTTCTCCAGTGAAAAAGTCTTCTCGTCTGATTCAGGAGAGAAACATGCACAGATCAAGTGCTGTTTACAAGTATATGTCAGTGGATTTTGATGTCAAAGGACAACAGGGGATGGACTTTTTTAACTTGACGAAGAGTTATTATGAATTATGGACGGATATTTTGTCCAGAATCGGTGGTTTAAATGTTGAAATGTCTTAATGGTGGATTTGTTTCTTACAAACATGCAACTTTTCACTTCACGACTGGAGTGGTGTGGATTATTGTGATGTTTTTATCAGCTGTTTGGACTCTCATTCTGACGGCACCCATTCACTGCAGAGGGTCCATTGCTGAGCATCAGACCAAATCTGCTCTGATGAAGAAACATACTCATCTACATCTTGGATGGCCTGAGTTAAATTGTCAGCAAATTCTACTCCTTTTAAGGAAATAAATGGAGTCAATTTGGATTGCCTGTAATCTTTGATGGTTAAAGAATTTATTTCCCTTAGGATAATAATTACAAACTAAATCTATGTATATACAGACATTTGTGAAGCACTGTGACACTAATGCTTTTTATTTAAATTTTAAAATTGTTTCTCTCTCTGTTCTCATTCTCAGCTTGCAGCGATGATTGTCTCCATGATCCTGTATTGTAAAACAGGATCAAAACAGGTTTAATGTCTCACCTTTAGCTTGAATATCTCTCTGATGACTCCTCTGGGTTACTGAGGACAAGGTGGATCATCTGTGATAATATCACTGTGACATTTTGAATTGTATTTAACAATATGACATTACAAATCCCTCTGGGCGTCCACAAAAAAAGAAAAAGTAAATTCAGACTGTTAAGCCTAAACTTTGACTGCAAACATGAGTTTTGAGAGATCCCATTGTACCGTACTTATGTTAAAATGAGCTGTTTAAGCTGTTTTAATGTTTAATGTAGGCCTATCTGATTGTTTTTTGTTTACTTTTTTTACTTTGCCTATGCAAGATGTTTTCTTATTTAAAAACAAAATGCTTTGTTTAATAGCATAACACCCGAGGCATTATTTTATCATTAACACACTAAGGGGGTTTTCCTATTGACATCATATGTGCAATGACCAAAAAAAGCCAAATGTTTTCTAACAAATGTTGCTGATTGTAATTTATTGTAAACTTTTTACAAACCAAAGCCATTTTAAATCATGTGCCTGTTCGTGTAATGAAGCAAAATGTTTTATTAAGTATTTTACAAAAAAAAGATTATATCATGTTGCTAAATGTTATTGTAAGATGTTTGTTTTGACAATTACTATAAAGCCAATAACCTGTTTGTGGTGGTCATTTCTTTAAGTTCTTCAACTGTAACTCTACTAATGTAGGTCTACATGATGATCACAAAATAAACCCTGACAGGATGTTCTTGTATCATCATATTTTATGTCCTGAAAATACATTTTACCATATTCGGTAACTTTTAATGGGAAGAATGTGATCGCTGAATAAAACTAAACTTCAAAATCCCTACCCAAAGTAATATGAAAGACATAATAATCTACTAGTACTCACTCTTGTGCTGGTTTTTGGACTAGGCTACTAACTGAAAAGCTATTTACTATCATCCTTTACTGCCGTGAAGCTCTCTGGTTGCGGTAAATAGTTATTTACTCTACTGTCCTCTAGTGGTAGAAAGTTACTATTTCACGACGTCCAACTATACACTGCAGTAGTTAATGGTTTGAGCTTACTACTAGCTACTAAGATGGATAAACTGTGCTTTAGACTTTCATTTTGAAAGATATATTTATGTTTCTGGCAGTCACCATAGCTATTGATCTTGTTGTTAATTTCTTTGTTACATTGCACGTTTTTTTTTAGTCACAAAAACAATTTTCTCAAGACTTAGATTTAGATGCCTAGGTTTAATGTCTTTATTACTCATATTTCCCTTTTAAACTCATTTATAACGACAAGAATAACAAGTTGAATTATGATCACTTTCTATTATTTATAATTCTATTATTATTATTATTATTATAGGCTAATTATTCATATGCGCTATTATGTTTCAGTTTTCTTTTTCTTGTGTAGCCCATCTTTAAATTTCCTCCTCGTTTTTAGTGTGTTTTTTTGTTAGGGTAATAATATTAATGCTGATTGGATAAAGAAAAATGCTATACTAATGTCTTCATTAGCTCTATTTGTGTGTGTGTGTGTTGATATTTTAGAATGAACACGCTTACATGTGTTTTACTTAAGCTGCCTGATATTTCTTTGCGATTTCTGTGTTTTTTAATCGTTTGAGAAAAACACACACACACAAACGCACACACCGTAAATAAAAAATAAGCATTTTATATATATTTATATATATTTTCAATATATTTTATATATGAAATAATTCAGCATTTTAATTAAAATAATTATTACTATTTAGACACACAAGAGTATTTCATCGTGAATAAACTAATCAATAAATGCATTAACAAATAGTAGATACAATTCAATTTATGCATTTAAAATATTTAGAAATACAAAAAGTTTGGGGGAAAAATGACCAAATAAACAAAGATTTAAAATAAACAAATGACAATAAAAGGAAGTAAATTATTAAAGGGATAGTTCACCCCAAAATGAAAATTTGATGTTTATCTGCTTACCCCCACACTGTCAAAAAAATTCTGTAGTTTTTACAAAATAATTTTGGCAGCTGTGGTTGCCAGAATAATTTTGTAAAAAATACAGAAAAACAGTAATCCATATTCCCTGCCAGCTTGAGTTCTCCAGCAGTCCTCATCCATGCAGCATCTTCACGCGCAGTGAGAGTGACTTTCCACAGGAGCTCTGAGAGAAAGCTCTTCACTGTGTGTGTGTGTGGCCACAAGGCCCAGAAGAGGACAACAAAATACACCATGTCCACTGGGAAAAATGCACCTGCTACAGAAAAGTGAGTCGTTGCTGTGTGAGTGATCTTAAGAGCAGGCGAGCTGTTTAATAAAGGTGTGGTACCTAATGTACCAAGCCCATAATGCTCTGTTTTTCAGTCCGATACTGTACACCACCAAAATTGAGTCTTTTTGCCGCTGTAAAGGTGCTGGCCTCTGAAGAACTTGTAGAAATTGTAGATGTCATCCCATGATAGTATGCTTTATTTCTGTTGCGATAGAGAATTGCATTAGGTCAGGTGTGCTCCCTTCTCCAGGATGTGAGGTGTTTACCTAAAGATCACGCCCTCATGCTGCACACAGAGCCACTTCATTAATATATAGCCGGGAGAGTGAGAAACTTTATTCTGAGAAGGAAACCACATGCGCCGTTCAAAAATTTGTGATCAGTAAGATTTTTTATGTTTTTTGTATGGAAGACTTTCTTACACTCATCAAGACTGTATCTATTTGATCAAAAATACAGAAAAAATTTATTTTGTAAAATATTATTGCAATTTACAATAACAGTTTTCTATTTTAATCATGTAAAATGTAACTTATTCCGGTGGCGCAAAGCTGAATTTTCAGCATCATTACTCCAGTCTTCAGTGTCACACGATCCTTCAGAAATCATCCTAATATGTTGATTTACAGTCGATGTTGAAAACTGTTGTGCTGCTTAAAGGGGTCATATGATGCTATTTTAAAGATCATTATTTAGTGTATTTGGTGTAACAGAACATGCTTTAATGTTCAAAAAACACATTATTTTTCAAATACTGTATATTATTGTAGGTCATCTATGCCCCGCCTCTCTCAAACACATCGTTTTCAACAAAGCCCCCTCCTTTGACAAGCGCAGTCTGCTCTGATTGGCCAGCTGACCCAGTGCATTGTGATTGGCCGAACACCACAAGCACGCACCGGAAATGTAACGCCCCTTACCATAATCGCAAGCTTCAGCTTTCAAAGTAAATATCAAGACAGTTAATAATGTGGTTAGTTTTACCATCAGTTCAAGCCCGAAAGGGCAACAGAGTCGCGTGACAGACACCGTGATGATGCAGTACACAAGCC